ATTGGTTTAAACATAACAAAAGAAACCATGCTACTCAACATTTCAGTATTTAACTTTGTTTTGGGTGTAACAATGCACCATTGTCTTAAAGTAACTTAAGTTTGAAGAAAAGGTGAATGGAGGAAAAGAGAAAAGAAAGCTCCTTTTTCATGTGTGTATAACAAGCCAAGAGCAGTTTGTTTGTAAGTTTTATTTGTGCTTAAATCAAATTCTCAAGGCTGTCAGATGAGAAAAATCCCTTTAATACCTTATATTTACACCAATGTCAATGAAAATTCTACCAACTCGGCACAAAAGAAAGACATGCAAATAAATATAAAGGCTAAAATTGGATTCACCATAACTCAAAATCCATTCTCCTAACCAAAACCTTGAGCATGGTTACTAAGATTTGATTGGCACAATCTTCCTATCAAATTCCTGGAATTTACATTCAAATGTTCTATGTGCTTTTCTAAAACAGAAAGGTGATGTGCTCAACAACTGTGCCATTTCAGAACGAAAGCGGAACATTGAGCTGAAGCTCGGGGACCATACTGGCTAGACAGTGCCTGAGAGAGGATGTCAGCTTGGAGTTCTGATACCAGATGGAATTTTCTGTACATTTTATCAACATTTAAGTTGGCAAAATGAAGAATGTAGCATTGGACATACATAAAAAAGACATGGGGGCTCCTGACCATGCTGCAATTATTCCTTGCACGAGATGCTCAAACCTATCAAATGGATCTTACGTAGCTCCTTTGGCCACAGCACCAGTGGTGAAACAACCATCGCTCCTTCAATGAAATCTGTCATCCAAAAGGAATGATCAGGTCGGCCTTTCTGGCAGCCAGTGCTTTGTGTTGAGGAACAGTCAACTGAAATGCTCTTACAGAGCAATAAATAGCTGTAGAAACTACTCTGGAACCAGTGAGATGCACCAGCCAATAAAGGTACCTGCCACTGAGCATGGTGACCTGAATTTTCCTGGGACTCACATAGTGAAAGAAAAGAACTTACTCCCAAAAGTTGACTCTGACCTCTAAGCATGCTCTCATGTACTCGCACTGCCCCTCACACAATAAAAAGAAATTTCAATTTTAATTAAACAATTAAGTAGTCACGGGGTTTTGTTTTCTGATGGTAGGGTTTTGTTATTGTTGAAGATACACATTTTACCACTACCTCTGTTTTATATATACTGATGATAGAAAAAAAAACATTTAGTCCAAGCCTGTTACAAAAGTCAAATCACATTTCAAGGAAGCAGATCACTATTTACTGTTTTAATTAAGTTAGTGGAAATTTATGTCTTAGTCTGTTTTCTTTTCTTTTTTTTTTTAAATAGATGTGTACTGTGCATCACCTCTGTTTCTGCTGATTTTGTTAGAAGTCATTGATGTGTTTCTGCCTCTGGGGCTTTATTGACCAGTTAACTTAACTGATACCCACTTCAGCAGTTGCTTGGTCCCTTTTCAGATTATTGTGCAATCCCACCTGCCTTTTATAGTGAGGATGACAAGCCCATCTTGTGATTCATCCAATCTATATAAAACAGAACCTCAAAAAAAATTATTAACTCTGGGTGCAAGCAAGCTTGCATATTCTCCTATTAGAGTAGATGTCTTATCAGAAAATCTAATATGATTTCTAAAATTGAAATTTGTAGGTAAGCACCTGGACATTGAGTGTGATAATAGTATGACCACTGTTACTTAGAGCTGTAGATTATAGATTCTGTGACTATCACAACCCCTAATTTATTTCAAATAGACTTTCAATTATTTTGAGATTGGCATAAAAAATGATAGTTAAAAAGAGCATGACCTAATAACTGATTTTATTAAAATTTATTAAAATGCAGATTTTATAAAATAGTACTTTTCCAACTGTCATATATTTGAGATCAATCATCCTCAAACATGACTATATGTCAGAATAATCTTTTTTTTTTTTTTTTTTCGTTTTTCGAGACAGGGTTTCTCTGTGTAGCTTTGCGCCTTTCCTGGGACTCGCTTGGTAGCCCAGGCTGGCCTCGAACTCACAGAGATCCACCTGGCTCTGCCTCCCGAGTGCTGGGATGAAAGGCGTGCGCCACCACCGCCCGGCCCAGAATAATCTTTAGAGGACAGAGGAAGAAATGCGTTAGTCTCATCCTAGAATCATACGAAGTGGAGATTCAAAACAGTGAATCTTTAAGAGCTGACAGGTGATTATGCTGTACAACAAAATTGAAGCATAGTACATATAAGACAAAGCAAACTGACATACAATATAAAAGTTTGTTTAAAAATTAAAGATCTAGTATATAGCATGTAACTTGGGTTCTTACTAAAATAAAGATTTGGTAGTAATACCAATATGACCCCTTTTTCCTCAGCAACAATTAATTGCCTGTGACTACTCAGGGAAGGGTGGTGATTTAGGATTCTAACCTGTATTTTAATACAGAATGTTGTTAAGCAAGTGTTATGCAGGTCTTTTGCTGGTAGTAACTGCTGCTGTGAGTTCATGGGTACAGCAACCCTGTCTTAGGCAGAGGACAGCTTTTCATGGAACACTTTCCTGACCCAGCTTTTACATTCTTTTCACTTGCTCTTTGGTGGTGTCTTCTTAGCTTTGGATGGGTTGATACAGATGTCTCATTAAGTACTTTGACCATTTATGAGTCTGTGTTAACCATTACCCACTGCAAAGAGAAGCTTTTCTTTTCATTGAAAATAGAATATTTTCTAATATCCTGATTACAGTTCCCCTCCCTCTACTCCTCCCCTCCCATGCCCTCCACATCCACTTCCTTTATGTCTCACATTAGAAAAGAACAGGCTTCTAAGAGATAACAACCAACCATGACAACATAAAAAAATAATAAGATAAAACAAAACCATCACATCCAGGCTAGGCAAGGCAATCCAACAGAAGGAAAAGAGCCCCAGAGAGCACACAACCATTCATTATCACAGTCAGGAGTCCCACAAAAACACTAAGCTGAAAGCTATAATATATATGTAGAGGACCTGATACAGACACATGTAAGACCCACGCTTTCTGCTTCAGTCTCTGTGAGTTCACATCAGCCTTGTTGAATTGATTTATAGGGGCTTATTCTCCCAGTGTCCTCCATCCCCTCTGGCTCTTACACTCTTTTTGCCACATATTAGGCAGGCTTGCTAGAGGAAAAATTTGATGGAGACATCCAATTTAGAGCTGTATGTTCCAAGGACTCTCTCTCTCTCTCTTTCTCTTTCTCTCTCTCTCTCTCTCTCTCTCTCTCTCTCTCTCTCTCTCTCTCTCCCTCCCTCCCTCCCTCCCTCCCCCCCCTCTCTCTTTCCCCCCTCTCTCTCTCAATAATGTCTAGCTGTGGATCTCTGTATCTGTTCCTGTATGCTGCAGAAGGGATAGTCTCTGATGATGACTGTATAAGCTACTGATTTATTAGTATGGCAGAATAGCATTAGGAGTCACTTCAATGTTTTGTTTGTTTGTTTGCTTGTTGTTTTTTTGTTTGTTTGTTTTTTTGACCAGTAGTGTTTGGTTTTACCCTAAGTCTCTCTGGTTCTTGGTCACCCATGCATTATGTTATGGGTCTGTCCTGTGAAGTGGGCCTTAAGTTAAATCAGACATTGATTGGCAACTCCCACAAGTTCTGCCCAACCATTGCTTTAGCATATCTAATAGGGAGGGCAGATTGTAGGTCAAAGATTTTGTGGCTGGGCTGCTGTTTACATTTCTCCTTTGTTAGCCGGCAGACTATCTTCCCACACAAAGACACTAGAACATTGGGATGAAGGCTCCATGTAGACACCAGGGTATTTTCTTCTGCAAAGGTGCCTCATTGTCAGTGAGCAGAGAGCAACACATTGTCTTAGTGTTAGCCTATATTATTTGGGGATTTCCACGGGATCCCCTTGGCCAACAACTCAATTGAACACAACCCAGGCCCACTAGTGAAAGCTAAAGATAAACTTTTCTAAAAAGTCTAAGAGCAACACTAATCTAGTGGTACAGATATAAATACTTTCAAAGGCATTGGACAACATGTCACTTTATTAAAAAGAGTAGTAGTGTCCCCTTAGGACCTATGGACTTCCCAGTTATGAGCGTTTTTGTCCAAGTGTACTGAACCAGGCATGAATTTCTCCTGTGGAGTGGGCCTCAATCCAATCAGAAAACAGTTTGTTAGTTCCACAACAGTCAAACCACTATTGTGCCAGGGGGTACATCTTATGTCACAGGTTAACTTTAGAGCTTGCAGAGCTCACAGCTAGATAGAACTAGCCATGGCTTTTTCCCCCAGCAACAAACACACTTTCCTCACTATGAAAGCTAGCTAGCAGGAAGGCTGCTTCCAGCTTAGTTCCAACTTGATTTCTGTATGTCCAGGAACCAAGGTATATATTGTCTTCAGCAATGGGGTTCAATCATCTATTCTAGTGTGAAACCCAAAGCAATGGCAACAGCCTGTATTTTTTGGTGGAGACTCTAAAGTTTCCTGAATAACAACTGGAATTTTTATTTAATAACCTATGACTTCAGGAAGTAGCATTATTCACCCATGCAGGGAATTACACTTCAAACTGTTTTTATTGTATTTTCAACTAACAGATGAAGCAGAAACCCATATGGTTTCTCATACATCTTAATTTCATTAACCCTGTCCCCCACACCAACCCTCATTCCTCCCTCTCCATCCTCACTTAAAACTTTCTACTTCCTCCTACAAGAAAGTACAGCCTCCCATGGGGAGTTAGCAGAGCCTGGTACATTCAGTAGAGGTGGGTCCAAGCCCCTCCCACTGCCTCAAGGCTGTGCAAGGTATTCCACAATAGGTAGTGGGCTCCAAAAAGCCAGCTCGTGCACCAGATGGATCCTGATCCTACTGCCAGGGATCCCCTTAAGCAGATCAAGTCACACAACTGTCTTACTTATGCTAAGGGCCTAGTACAGTCCCGTGGAGGCTCCACAGGTGTTACTCTAAATTCATGAGTCCCCCTAGTTTGGTTTTCTTATCATTGTAGGTTTCCCCATCATGATCTTGATGCCTCTTCTCTCTCTTCGACTGGACTCCTGGAACTTGGCCTGGTGTTTGGCTGTGGATCACTGCATCTGCTTCCATCAGTTACTGGAGAAAAGCTCTATGATGACAGGGTATTCACCAATCAGATTACTGAGGTAAGCCAGTTCAGGCACCCTCTCCACTATTGCTAGTAGTCTAAGCTGGGGTCATCCTTATGGATTCCTGGGAACTTCCCTAGCACCCAGATTCTTCCTATCCTATTAAGTCTCCCTATCCCCATGAAGTCTCCCTCTAACATCTCTTTTATTGTTCTCCCACTCCATCCCTGTTCCAGCTCAACCATTTCATTCCCTTATGTTCTCATCCCCCATCTCCTACCCTTCATCGCACCCCATCCCCAGTTTACTCTCTCCCAGGGCAATCCAAGTATCTCTCTTAGGGTCCTCCTTGTTAGCTAGCTTCTCTGGAGCTGTGGGTTATAGTCTGATTATCCTTTGCTTTATCTAGTATCCACTTATGAGCAAGTACATACCATGTTTGTCCTTCTGAGTCTGAGTTACCTCACTCAGGATGATATCTTCTAGTTCCATCCATTTGTCTGCAAATTACTTGATGTCATTGTTTTTTACTGCCAAGTAGTACTCCATTGTGTATATGTACCACATTTTCTTAATCCATTCTTTGGTTGAGGGGCATCTAGGTTGTTTCCAGGTTCTGACTATTGCAAATAATGCTACTATGAACATAGTTGAGCATGTGTCCTTGTGGTATGCTTGAGCATTCCTTGGGTATATGCCCAAGAGTGGTATAGATGGGCCTTGAGGAAGATTGATTCCCAATTTTCTTAGAAACCACCATACTGATTTCCAAAGTGGCTGTACAAGTTTGCGTTCCCACCAACAGTGTAGGAGTGTTCCCCTTGCTCCACATCCTCTCCAACATAAGCTGTGTTCAGTGTTTTTGATATTAACCATTCTGACAGGTGTAAGATGGTATCTCAGAGTTGTTTTGATTTTCATTTCACTGATGACTAAGGATGTTGAGCAATCCATAAATATCTTTCGGCGGGGGGGGGGGATTGCTGGGGGGAATGGGGGAGGCTGGAGTGGCAGGAGGAAGGAAGAGGGGATCTGTGATTGGTGTGTAAAATGAATAAAAAATTCTTAATAAAAAATAAAATGTAGTAGAAAGAAAAACATCTTTCCACTTCCAATATACCTCCTCTACTTTCATGTCACAGGAGTTCTTCTAGTCTCACTTCTCATAAGCCCTCTTCACTGTTCACTCCATGGCCTCTTCCTAGCTCCCTGATCTCTCCATATGTACTCCAAGTTAAACACAAAAATCTAAAAATTCAAAGCTAAGTTCTGCATAAGAGAAAATTTGTAGCATTTGTCTTCTGTTTTCAGTATAATGTTTTCCAGTTCCATCCATTTACTTGCATATTTCATATTTTTTTTTCTTTTTTAGCTGAATAAAATTTAAATATATCTTGAAAGTATCCATTTTTTGATCTCAGGATTAAGAGACTACATTTCTTTACATAATATTAAGCAATAGTAGAACTTACTAGAATTTAGCCTGTTTGTTATTATCACTATGTGTAGAAATTTTGTTAGTTTTTCTTGAATTCTATATGACTCTAGACAGATATTCTATAAGGAAATTGTATGCCTATATCTTTATCTGTAGACAGATAGGTAAATAAACAGACAGACAGACAGATGGACAGACATAGACAGACAGATGATAGATACACACATACATAGATACCTTCATACATACATACTTAGATGCTGTGGGACAGTGTTTTGTACACTGATTTAATAAAATGCTGATTGGCCAGTAGCCAGGCAGGAAGTATAGGCAGGATAAAGTAGACAAGGGGAATTCTGGGAAGAGGAAGGCCAGCAGCATGTAATGGCACACATGATGATATATAGATTAACAGAAATGGGCTGAGTTTAAGTGTAAGAGCTAGTCAGTAGTAAACCTGAGCTAATGGCCAAGCAATTTTAATTAATTAATCCTTGTGTGTTTATATGGGTCTGAGCCAGTGAGGGACTAGCAGGTGAGAGAGATTTGTCCTGACCGTGGGCCAGACAGGACCAGGATAACTTCAGCTATACATAGATATCCAAATTTATATAATATATATAATATAATATATATATATATTATATTATATATATTAAATATAATGAACTTTCAGGTTCTCTTATTCTCATGTATTAGTGAAACATAGATTATATTTCATGCAAATCAGCATTTAAGATAAGTTAGTCTCAGCAATCAAGCCATCTAATAAATGAGTCAAATTATTAAGTAAAATATTTTCATAATTATCCATTTGGGTATCAAAGTATATCTCTATCCCAAAGGCATGCAAGGCCTAATCTTCTAAGAAAATTTGTCTTGGAAGCATCTTATAAAACTGTTCCTAAATAATGTCACCAGGAAAAAAAGGGATGCTTGTCTGTCTCTTCATTAATGTGTGTGCATTTGTATCACTTATATAAGACCTATATATAAACAAATATAGAAAATTAAAATAAACTTATACTATTGAAGTGTAATTTTTATGATTAGAAAGCAGATATCAGAAGGCTATTCTACCATTTGATTTGTTAAAATGTTTTGGGAAAAATATTTTAAAAACTTAAAATCTTCAACTATATGTAAACTACATAGATTAGTTTTAGATTTTCAAAGTACTAATACAGCTATGTGAGGCTGTGCAGACTTGAGATAAAATGACATCTTGGTCTACTTATGTTTCTGTTCATTTCTTATTTTAACAAACACATATTAATGTATCATGACCTACCAAGAACATTCAGCAATAAATAGGACAAGTGGGATTTCCTTCCCTGGAAGTATAAATCAGAGGAATGACAAGGGAAAATAAGCAAGTAAAAAATAAAATGAGAACCAAACAATTCTAAGTATAAGAAAGGAAATAAACAATATAAGAAAGGAACTGGAGAACTGTTATTCAGGAAGAATATTAAAATGCCTACTGAAGAGCAATAACCTTGAGCTTTGCCAAAACCTAAAAGAAAATGTTCAATACATATGGAAGATGTTGAATATAGTGATTTCAATAAAATGCCCCCATAGTCTCAGATGTTTGAATACTTGGTCCCCAGTGGGTAGAGCTATTGGAAGGTTCAGGACGTACAGCTTTGCTGGAGGATGTATGTCATTGGGGGTGGGCTTCGAAGTTTAAAAGGTTAGATGACGTTCCCAGTCCATTCCCTCTGCTTTGTGCTTACAGTTCAAAGATGTAAGCTCTCTGCTCCCTGTTTCAGACATCATGCTTCCACTCTGACATCATGGGTCTCAAAAACCATAAACTGGAATATATCATTCTTTTTATAAACTTCCTTGGTCATAGTGTTTTGTCACATCAAGAAAAATAGTAGCTAATATAAATGGTAAAATTATAAAAGCGAGAAATGTGTGTTCAAGTTCAAGAAAGTATGAAAGTGTTATTGACAGGACTTACTGGAGATTGGAAGCACAGCTCACTTACAAAATTTGTTTGACATAATCAAGTCACTTGTTCATTCCCAGCACACGACAGAAAAGTTAGTTTCAATTATATATGTCCTTAATAATAAAAGGGCGTGAAGACTATGGAGAAGAAATTTGATTTTATATCAAGTGACATGGGAAAAAATAGAAGGGTTTTAATCAAGGGAATGATAAGCTTTGACTTTCTTCCTTCTATGATACAATAATTTTTTTTTGTTTTTGAACTTAGAATATTTAGAAAAAGGGAGAAAGAAAACTTGAGAGAACATGTATAAAGTCCAGTTATCAAGAGATAGAAATAATCAAATTTGAAAACCATTTTAGAGTTAACATCACCATGTCTCGGTCTCTTTATTATTGTGAAAAGTATTGCAATAAATGTAGGAGTACAGATGTCCTTGTTTATATTTTATGCTTTCATATCATTTTAAAATAATTTTAATTAATTGAAAGACCAACAATTCTTCCTTTTTGTTGTGTTGTGGTAAGGACAGGGAAACAATTGAAGGATGAGAAATGAATAAATTGAAAGGAAAGATAATCAAGTGGAGTCTATATAGCTCTGGTAAAGAATGACACATTTCTTTTTTCTTTGTTTTCTGTTTTTATAATATAATGTGCATTTATTTACTTACTAATTATAGAATTCAGCTCATGATTCTAACACTTGATGAAGCATAAGGACTTAAGAGGAAGAAAGTTTGGAGAGAAATGAAACTCATGTAAGGAACTGTGCACATAAAGGTGAGGAGTCCAGTTACCATTCAAGAAGAGGTGGGAATCAGAGCTGCCTGTAGTAAGTAGAGCCCATAGGATTCAAAGTTTCAATATGACCTAGCTAAAACTCTGGAGTCTCCGGTTTTAGTCATTAACCATAATGAAATCATCTAATCATATAGGACAGATAATAATAGAGGATAGATGATAAGGAAGACACAGGTTTAATACTTTTGACAAAATTTAATAATTAAGAGCCCAAAAAGGAGAATTAGCTTCATTTCTGTTATGATGATAAAATACCGTAACAAAGGTAACTCAGGGGAAGAAAGATATATATTACATTACAGTCATCCATTGCCAGGAAGTCACAATAACTAGGATTCAACACATCTGGCCATAACGTGATCATAGAAGAAAGAGAGATGAAAGAATGAATGCTTGCACTCAGTTCATTTTCTCCTCCTGTACATTTCAAGCTTCCCTGCCTAGAGAATGGTACCTCCACAGTGGGTGGGTCTTTTTGTCTTAAAAAACATAATCAAGATAATTCATCAGATATGCGTCCATAAGTCAATCTAATATAAACAATAACTCATTGAGTCTGCCAGGTGATGCTGCATATTTCAAAACCCAACCATCACAGAAGTTTAGAAACTCTGATCAAAATAATTGAAATAAAACGAAGAGTGTCTTTTGCCATTAAATATAACATAAGAGATTGACAAATAAAATTAAAACATGTAAGTGTCCTTCGGGTATGACAACTTTAAAGCGTCTGATGTTGCTTAGAACATATAACCACTTAGAATTAAAACTAAGGGAAGATCAGAGAACTGTGGATGGCAGAATAAGAGTCTGAGAATGAAGGAGGATTGCCATGCTTGTTTGAAGACGTGAG